CTGTGGCTCAAGTGGTAGAGCACTAGCCTTGAGCTGAAGAGCTGAGGGACAGTGCCCAGGCCCAGAGTTCAGGCCCCACAACTGGCAAAAAAAAAAAAAAATACTTTAAAAGCTGCAATCCCTTTTTTTTTTTTTTTTTGGTTGTGGAGCTTGAACTCTGGGCCTGGGCACTGTCCCTGAGCTCTTCAGTTCAAGGTGAGCGAGCACTCTACCCCTTGAACCACAGTGCCACCTCGGTTTTCTGGTGGTTTATTAGAGTCTCATAGACTTTCCTGCCTGGGCTGTCTCTGAACCTCGATCCTCAGATCTCAAACTCCTGAATAGCTAGGATTACAGGGGTGAGCCATCGGTGCACAGCTTGCAATACATTTTTTAACTAAAGTTGACAGTACAGATGAAGTTTCCAACAAACTCAATATATTCAATAACAATACATGTATATATACACACACTTATACAGCAGTATATGTTATGTATCAGTAGAAGCAATATCTTTTCTAGGTTCTATAGTCATCTAACCAAAAGTTACAAACAAATGCCCAGGAAACTGTTGGCACCTTTATATTGACTTCTCAATTATCAAGCAAAAGTTTAAACAGTTTCAAAGATAGTACAAAACAAAACAAAAAATCAACACATAATCAAATATATCACAAATGATACTGGACATAGCCAGTTCACCTGCTCCTTAAAAAATAATTTTCATTTCAGATTGTTTAAGTTTTCATTTTAGTTAATTAAAAGCACGTGTGTTTGAAGATGTCAATTCCATTATACTTACTAAAGGGTATCTGGAGGACCAATAATAAGGACTTCCCATCGGTAGAGGTCATTATCATCTATTAAACCTGCTGAAAAGCCTTCCACTGGATTTTTGTTCAGTTCTGTGGAAAAATAAAAATTTCATCAAAACTCTCAAGGACATAATTTTCACCTAACAAGTAAACTATAGAACTTAAACATGCTATAAACTATCAAGTGGATAAGAATGCCAGGAAATGTTACATAACTAAAACATTTCCCTTTGCATAATACAAAGAGGCCAGGTTGGTAAAGCAAACTACCCAGAAGATTAACATCTACTGCCTTCTTGCTATCCAAAGAAGCAGTTATCATTGTAGTAGCCCTGATGTGGGCTCTAAGAGCTTGATAAAACACACGTCTCCAATGCCATCATCCAGAGATCCTAGTTCAGAAGGAACACACATGAACAGTATTTTTTCTTCCTCTTCCCCACCCCCATACTGTGGCTTAAAACTCTCATCTGATTTGTCTGCTCATGGCTGGTACCAACTGAGCTAACTTGAGAACTCCTCTAAGTTGGCTTTCAACCTCAATCCTGTCGTTTTCAGCCTCAGCTAGGATTATAGGCATAAGCCATGAGCATCTGACAGCCAGATGCTCATAGCTCATACCTGTATCCTAGCTACTCACTAGGCTCAGATCTGAAGAAAAAAGCTTTTCAAAGACAGCTCAGGCAGGAAAGTCCATGAGAGAGACTCATCTACAATTAGCCACCCAAAAGCTGAAAGTAGGGCTGTGACTCAAGTGGTAGAGTGCCAGCCTTGAGCAAAAAAGCTCAGAAACAGTACACAGCCCCACCCCCTTTATTTTGGTCTGGTCGTGGGGCCTGAACTCTGGGCCTGGGCGCTGTCCCTCAGATCTTCTGCTCAAGGCTAGTACTCTATCACTTAAGCCACAGCGCCACTTCCGGCTTTTTTCTTTTTTGCTTACGTGGTGCTAAGGAATTGAACCCAGGGTCTCATGCATGCAAGGCAAGCACTCTACCACTGAGCCACCTTCCCAGCCCTGTTCTTACTCTTTTATTTATGTATTTACATCTAGAGAAGTAACTATAATTCAGATCATGTTCTCCAATGTGACTAAGGTTTTGTCAAAAATTCTGTAATTTATCCAGAAATCTCCTGGTAATGATTTTAATGTAAGCCCAACAACATTTTATTCAAGTAGTGGGTAAGCTCTGAAATGAGTATAAGAGGACAGAATTACCCTCAAAATTTTCCTCAAATTTTCCATAAGCACATCGTTGCTTCTCACTTCTGACAATATACCGCCCTAAGTTCTGGAACTCTTGCATATTTTTTCATGGTTTTCTTTTACAGGAATTATTGTATCCATTGCTTATTTTATGTAACTAATCAAAAGCAAGGACGAAAAATGCCCTACATCTCACTTTTGTGGTGACCTTTGCCTGTTTTGAAATCTTTTATCCCACCCTCACCCTACTTGCCCCCACCCCAGGATTGAAGATTAAACCCAAGGACTTGTGCTTGCTAGGGAAGTACTCTCTACCAATTGGTTACATCTCTAGCTCTTTTTTCTAGAGTCTAGATCCAGGAATGCTAAACAGGCTTAATCCACCTACAGTGGCCTATCACTACCCTATCATCTTCAGGAATGATTGCTCCAAGGTCTAGTTCAAGTACTTCTCCTCCTCCATGAAGCCTTTGCCCAAAAAGATATCAAATAATCTGTTGACTTCTGTTATTGCACTGGCTGCATTTAATTAAAATCAGCTCTATTTTCCAGAAGTAAATGGCAGTATGTTGTAAATGCTCAAACAGTAATTTAAAAGAAGAAAGAGTAATAATAATGGCATGAGGAGGAATTTGCCAAACAAAAGCATACTACACAATCAGTAAGAGTCAGAAAAAGGTACTAGTGATCCTAGCAACTCAGAAAGCTGAGATCTGGGGATAGGAATTCAAACCAACCTGGCAAGTAAAACCATGAGACTCTTTTCCTCATATAACCAGCAAAAAGCTGGAAGTAGAGGTATGACTTAAATGGAAAGCCCTAGTCTGGACTAAAAAAGCCATGCAGAGTGGGAGACTGGTGACTTCAAACCACAGTATTGGTAGGCATGCATATACAAACACACATACATGCATAGCAGAAAAGGCCTCTAAATATAAAGATAAGCCAAAAGATTTGGTTGAGTATGGGATGTAGATAAAGTAGCATATACAAGTACCTAAAGAAGGGGCTGGGAAGGTGGCTCAATGGTAGAGTGCTTGCTTAGCATGCATGAGACCCTGGGTTCGATTCCTCAGCACCACATAAGCAAAAAAAAAAAAAAAAGCCGGAAGTGGCGCTGTAGCTCAAGGGGTAGAGAGCTAGCCTTGAGCTGAAGAGAGAGTCAGCACCCAGGCCCAGAGTTCAGGACGACCGGACCCCCCCAAAATATATATATATATATATATATATATATATATATATATACACACACACATACATACATACCTAAAGAAATATGGGAAGTTAGGGGATGCAGTTGAAATTAGGCACAATAGAAGAAAAAGGTTCTGGGCCTGGTGAGCTGGACTTTATTTAGAGGACCCTTGAAAGGTTTTGTCTGTTTTTTTGTTTGTTTTGTTTTTAAGAAAACAGATGGGGCTGGGAAGGTGGCTCAGTGGTAGAGTGCTTGCCTTGCATTCATGAGGCCCTGGGTTCGATTCCTCAGCACCACATACACAGAAAAAGCTGGAAGTGGAACTGTGACTCAAATGGTGGAGTGCTAGCCTTGAGCTGAGGGACAGAAACTAGACCCAGAGTTCAGGCCCCAGGATGGAAGGAAGGAAGGAAGATGATGATGATGCCAGGCAAGGGTGGCTCACGCCTGTATTCCTACTAGCAACTCAGGAGGCTGAGATCTGAGGATCATGGTTCAAAGCCAGTCTGGGCAGGAAAGTCCATGAGGCACTTCTCTCCAATAAATCACTAGAAAACCAGAAGTGGTGCTGTGGCTCAAGTGGTAGATGCTAGCCTTGAGCTGAAGAGCTGAAAGACAGCGCCCAGACCCAGAGTTCAAGCCTCACGACTGATGGAGGAGGAGGGGGAGGGGGGAGGAAGGAGGGGGAGGGGGAGAAGGATGGCCACCAGACACTGGTGGCTCATGTCTGTAATCTTAGCCACTCATAAGGCTGACATCTGAGGGTGGTAATTTGAAGCCAGTCCTGGCAGAAAAGCCTTTAAGAGTTTCATCTCCAGTGAAGCACACCACAAGAGCTGGAAGTGGAGCTGTGGTACAAATGATAAAGTACTAGGCTTGAGAAAAAGCTCGGATAGCACACAGGCCTTGAGTTCAAAAACCCCAGTACTAGACTAAGAATGTGGCATAGTGGTAGAGTGAGTGCTTCCCTAGCATGCATGGATTCCTACCACACACACAGGAAAAGTCTGAAGTGGCACTATGGCTCAAGTGGTAGAGTGCTAGCCTTGAGCAGAAGAGGGTCAGGGACAGTGCCCAGGCCCTAAGTTCAAGCCCCAAGACTACTAGGTCCACTCCTCCCACAAAAAAGCCCTAGTACTGGCACAAGAAAGAAAGAAAGGGGGGAGGGAGGAAGGGAGAAAGAGGGGGGAGAGAGGGAAGGAGAAAGAAGGAAGGAACGAAGGAGGAAGGAAGGAGACAGAGAGAAAGAAAGAAGACAGAGAGAAAGAGGGGGTAGGGAGGGAAGGAGGCAAAGAGAAAAAAAAAGTGGGCTGGGAAAGTGGCTCAGGGGTAGAGTGCTTGCCTTGCATACACAAGGTCCTGAGTTCGATTCCTCAGCATCACATAGGCAGAAAAATCTAGAAGTGGCATTGTGGCTCAAATGGTAGAACACTAAAATGCTTGAGCTGAAGAACTGAGGGACAGTGCCCAGGCCCAGAGTTCAGGAGGCACCACGGACAAAAATTAATAAATAAATAAATAAATAAAATTGTGGTGTGTCAGTGGCTCTCCCTATGTAATCCTAGCTACTCAGGAGGCTGAGATCTGAGAATCATGGTTCAAGGCCAGGCCGGGCAAGAAAGGCCATCAGACTCATCTCCAATAAACAATTAGGAAACCGGAAGTGGGGCTTTGGCTCAAGTGGTAGCATACAAGTGACCAAAAAAAAAAAAAAGTAATCTCACTTCACAAATCTGAACTTGTCTGAGCCCACAGCTGCCAAATACCAAAACACACAGAAGAACATGTTGAGAATAACCCTGGAAAGCCTTTTAGCAACTCTACCGTGTGGGCAATTCTAAAAACAAGACCTGAAATCTTTTTTTGTTTGGTCCAAGTTGGCTTTGAACTATGATCCTCAGACCTCAGCCTCCTGAGTAGCTAGGATTACAGGCGTAAGTCACTGGTGCCTGACTTAGACCAGGAATCTTAAGCAAATATGCAAGGGAGGAAATAAAGTGAAAACTCAGCCATTATAAGCAACAGCAACAGCCTCACACTTTTGGCTTACATCTGTAAACTTAGCTACTCTTCTCCTGAGACTTGAACTCAGGGCCTGGGTGCTGTCCCCAAGCCTCTTTGTATTCAGGGCTAGCACGCTACCTACCACTTGAGCAACAGTACCTCTTGTGGCTTTTTTGAGTAGTTTCTTGGAGATAAAGAGTTTCAAACTGTGATCCTCAGCTCTAAGCCTCATGAGTAGCTATGACTGTAGGCATGAGCCACAGGCCCCCAGCTTCTATCTTTTTTAAAAGAAACAAAACACCGCTACTAGCAACAGAATCATTCTGTTTGTTTTTTGTTTTGGTTGGTTGTGGGACTTGACTGCTGGACCTCAGCACTGCCCCTGCTGGACCTCAGCACTGTCCCTGAGCTCTTCAGCTCAATACTAGCACTCTACCACTTTGAGCTACAATGCCACTTCCTGTTTTCTGGTTTGTTAATTGGAGATAAGAGTCTCAAGGATTTCCTGCCCAGGCTGGCTTTGAACTGTGATCCTCAGATCCCACCTTCTGAGTAGCTAGGATTATAGGTGTGAGCCACTGGCGGCCAGCCCTAAATTTAAGCTTAAAACAACAGCTACCTTCTTATATTACTGTAAAGATGTTTGTCAAAGATGTTGTGAGGGAAAACAGTCAAGAGGAGTAATTTTCTGACCTCAGTGACACTTAGACTTCCTCAGAGAATGCAGTCTATTTTTACCTACACTATGAATTGTAACATCAAACCTGTTCTTAAAAAGCTAGTTTACACCTGCAGTAACTCCAGATTATACACCAAGCTAGCTGGCCTAGCACTGTAATTTTCCTCTTGTTCTCATTTACTGATATCAATTTGTTTGAACTTAATAACTAATTCAAAACTTGTTCACTGTAAATGTGTTAGATATTGGGAATTACAATGAAGAAAACAGTCTCTGCTCAAGCCATTTTTTTTATTTTAGTGAGTGAAAGCACACCAACAAATTTATGAAATAGTCATTGCCAACTGCTCAAACTGCAAGAACAGGATAAAGGAGAGAGAAAAGTATACTGATAGGGCTGGGAAGGTGGCTCAGTGGTAGAGCGCTTGCCTTGCATGCATGAGGCCTGGGTTCAATTCCTCAGCACCACATAAGCAAAAAGAAAAAAGCC